TCCGAAAAACTTCTGATCACTCGAACCCTTTCCCTCATCGTTTTTCAGCGTTTGGGATGCTGCACGACTATTTTGTCTGAATCATGTTCATCGAATCCCAATTCTACAAGTAGACGAATTTTCAAGGGAGACTGATGTTCTTTATTTATTATCGCTAAGAACGGTTTTCAGTGAAACAGTTTTAAATTTGGTTTGTATTTTTTTGTCTTTTTTTTTTTGTTTTGATACTATTTTCTTGCTCTTTGGTTATTTACAAGTTCAGCAGTTTTTCTGCTGTATATCTTTTCATTTTTAGATTTGGCTTTATTAGTTCTAGTTCTCTGGGTAATAAAGTTTTATTTTTTTTTTCAAATTTTTTCATTTTTTTTATACTCTTGTTATTTAGCATTGCAAATTTTTGGTTGATAAATGAAAGAAAGTAAAGATAAAATTATTGGCTTAAGAAAACTTACGTAATTAATTCAAGATCATTGGGTGAATTTTATAGGGTAATGCGGTGGAGATAACAGTACCGCATATTACTTGGTGAGACTGCTGAAGACAATTTTAAATTGTGATTTTGTTAGCTAACTCTAAAGTTAATCTTTAATTATTCATATTTTTTAAGGTGGAAAGTAATGGGCGTAATTCTGGCAAGCACACACTGGCTCCACATGTCAAGAACAGAACCTTGGAAGAAGCACGAATTGGCACTTGGGAGAAAGTTATTACTGTAAGTCTCTTTCTGCTGCTCATTTTCAATTACCTTCACGCCTACCAATTTTCGCAAAAATTATTATTCGTTAAAAAAAAAAAAGAAAAAAAGGCAAAAAAGAAGGTTGTTTTTGTATAATATAAATGCTGGAAAATCGAAAACAATTATAGGTTTCAAATAAGGCATACTGTGGTAAAGTGATTGATCTGTTGTTGGAATCAAAGCTGTCATGTGTTGGAGTTGTTGACGAAGAAGGTAGACTGGCTGGTTCAATTAGTAAAGGCGACGTGATGAGACTTTTGTCAATTCATGAGCATAATTATCTTGACATTCTTACACTTCCTGTGAAGGTTAATTTTCTCACTTTTTTTTAATTTTTTCACCTTAAAAGAATAATTATTTTTTGCTAAATTTTTCTTTTTTTTGTCTAAAATATTTATGTTTAATCATCTTTGCTGAATGGACGGTCTTTTTTGCTCAAATTTATAAGTGTTTTTATCAAGCAAAAACCTAAGCTTCTTTTGACGAGAGGATAAAGCTGTATTGATGTTGTTGTTAAGGATGCAACCAGTAATTAGTAAGTAATTTGTGAGCCGAAGTAAACAGACTGGGAATGTAAACATAGGTTTAATCTCAGAAACGTATTAATAGCGTACTATGAAGCGAAAAAGTTTATACACTTTTTTCATAATGTGGATTAAAAATGAACGAACATAAAACAAAAGAAAGGCGTTCATTTATCCATATTTCTAATCTAAACTAAATGTATCGGGATGATTTTCAATATTTATCTGTTGTGTACTTACACATTATTTGCTGCATAGTATAACAGCATAATAATTGGTGTTGCAATTAGCAAACTATAGTTTCTTGACCTTTTCCAGCTTTTTTTATTTGATATTTAGTTTCTATCAAAATTTATTGGTTTTAATTTTGATTTTTTTCAGGAAGTATATAGTGCACCTCCAACTGCACAGGTTCATAATACCATTTATGAAGCGATAAAAATCCTGATGGAATCCGATCAACAGTGTCTGTTCGTGGTGGATATGGTTACCGAAATACCAGTAGCGGCTATCGCATTCATTGATATTATGGATTACATATTAAATTCCTCTGAAATACATCATAAAATGAGTGTCGGCTAACAATTATTTTACAGTTATAAGCAGAGATGCCGCTACCGTCGCTACCGTCTGTTCGCACATTGGATATTGGTTTGTCTACCTGCCTATCATCTGTTTGACTGTCTGTGTGTTTCTTATGATGCTGATGGGAGGACGGTTGCTGTTGATCTGAAGTGGTCGGTTGATTAACTGGATAGTTGGAAAGGCAAAAAATAAGAAAAGCACAAAAAATAAGGGCAGAAATAAAGCTTTTACGAAATACAAAAAAGATTCCAATTTTTTTTCAAAATGGCGGTCAGTTTTTTCCTTTTTCTGGCTTCTTTCTTAATTCTTCCCTATCTCGTTACTGTTTAGAATAGTGCAATAGTAAGTGAAAAATAAATTGTAAAAAAAGATCTTAGATTTTCTTAATCTGAACTTTGTCTTCTTTATTATTTGAAACAAAGAAAAATGCAAGCAAAAAAGGAAGAGAAAAGAAGGAAAATATAATTTATTGGACTGTTTAAGTTTGCTGTATTTTTTTTTAGCTCGTTCTTAGTCATTTACCTACCAATTTACCTTCTCCTCATCGCTCTTTATCTAGTTATTCGTTTCTACTACTCCTCTCTACACTTCTTTTTCTCCATCCCAGTTTCTTTTCTTCCAAAAAAGAAAGTTTTATTTTTCTTTTTTCCTCTTTTTTAGCCAGAGGAGGGAGAGGGAGGCAAGGGTGAGAAGAACAAAGACTGGGAAATTTTGTTTGGTTAGAGGAGAAGAAATGACAGAAAGAAACTATTTTTGGTTTTTTAAATTGTCTTTATTCTTCATAATATAAATGGACTTTCTTTCCCACTTTTCACACTGTTTTACTGAGAACAGGGAAAACAGTGGGAAGGGGGACGTTTTTATTATACTGGTTCGTGGAAGTAAACATGTGTATTTATTTGTAGAAAATTGTAGGAAGTTGAATTTTTTTATTTTGGTTAAGCACAATACATACAGAGTGCGAGAGAGAATGATCGGGTTGTTTGAAAATCAACGGTTAAATGCATAAAAAATTTCTTGTATTTCAGTTCATTTATCTGTTATTTTTTATTTGCACACTTTATAGTCTAATATCTACGGGAACAGTTTTTGTTTATTTATTTTCTTTCTCATTAATTTATCTGTTTATCAATTTACCTACTCGTTTGTTTGTTTTGAAGAAAAAAACGTGTGAGTATGTATTTCTGTCTCATTTTCTTATATTTTTGATTTAAACCCGTATTTTAGTCAAGTTGGGTTGTTTGTATGAGAATCGTTAACTATTCGTTCTTGGATGTGCTCTCAGGATCATCTTTTAATTGTTTCATTTAATAGTGGTGTAATCAGCTGCCTCTTGTTATCAACCTAAAATAGTGTCACTGATTAAATTTGACGAGTTTTTTTTTTGTTTTTTTCTTTTTAAAATTGTTATTAAAATTTTCTTATTTACTTTTTCTCACTTTATTAGTCAATTTTTATTTTTATTAATGAGAAGGAGGAATTGGAGAAGAGAACAAGGAAAAAGAAAGTAATATTTTTGGTATTTTCAATGTTTTTCTCTTTTTTTGCTGTCTTGCTCGCCTGTTTTAGGAAAGAACAAAGGTAAAAAGTTTGCGAAGCACGTAAGCTGAAGAAAAAAAGTGGAGATGAGGAAAAGAGAGCGTGACAGTTTATTACTGTTATTATTATTACTATTATCATTACTATTATTATTATTATTATTATTATTATTATTATTATATTATTTATATTATTGTTATTATTATTATTATTATTATTATTATTATTATTATTGTTATTGTTATTAGTATTGTTATTATTATTATTATTATTATTATTATTATTATTCCCTATTATTATTATTATTGTTCCTATTATTATCATTATACTATTATTAATATTATTATTATTGCTATTACTATTATTAATATCATCATTATTTTTGTTATGATTAGATTATTTATTATTTGGTGATTTGTTACCTTTTCTTTTTTGCTTATTTTTCATCTTTATTCAAATATTTTCTTCGCTTGCGTGTACGTTTTCTTCTTTCTCTCTTTGTTTTTCATTTTTTATTATTTTTCAAAGTATGGGAGGAAAAAGCAAAATTTTTTGTTATGGTACTGCCTAATTGTTGGTTTTTATACTATCTGAGAATTGATCACTTATGAAAAGAAGGAAAAGTTTTGTGTGATAAAATATCAGTTGTATCCGTAAAATAAAAAAGAATTTAAAGGTATTGATATTTTTGTATAAAGTTGTATTAACGATGGGTATTGTACAATAATTTTCTCTTGTCTTCAAAAAAATACTGAATAAATGTGCTATTTAATCATGTCGAATGGGTACTGATGAATGACTACACGAATTACGCGATAGGCGTAATTTGGTTGATTATTTTAATGCAATTAGTACTGTCAGCTGTAATCATAGTCAGTAAAAAAAAGAAAAGAAAAACAAGCAGTAAAAGTTAGATGTTGTTTTGAAAAGGAATTCAAAGAGAAACATCTGTAAGTGGAATGGTATTCAAATAATGGTCTATGAAAAAAAGCAGAAAGGTTACAGCTGGTAAACAGTCATACCTGCGGTTGAGAGATAATTGATACTGATATATTGTTTTCTTAGAAAAAGTGCAGCACTTAAGTCATTATTGGAAAGTTTGTTTTATTTTGGTGATAATTCACTCTGTTATTCAGCCATCAAGTAAAATGCACGCTATTAAAAGCCGCTTAACAGCAAAAAAAAAAAAAAAAAAAAAAAAAAA